CCTGTTCCCCAAACGGAGAATCCAAGGATTCCCCGTTTGGGGGTTTTTTATATCCTTAGTTTTATTATCCTTTTCTTCAAATTATATATATCAACAAAAAAAAAAAAAATTAAATATATAATATACATATTAAACGTAAAGACCATATCATCAAAAAAGAAATTAAATCTATAATGTATATATTAAATATAAAAATCACCATACTAATATACAATGTATAATGTCAAATGTATACCATATATAATGTACAATATATGATGTCGAATGTATAATTTTTGTTTCATAGCATTAACATATATATATTTATATATATATATATATTAATTTATTTATAATGATTTATTATATTTAATCTAGTTTTATTTATTATCTATTTGTATATAGTTTCATAAAATACTTACACAATTATAATTTGTCATTGTATAATGTATAATTATTTTCAAATATTAAAATTATTATAGGTATATATGATTGATTTTCAATTATTAAAATTAATATATATATAATATACGGGCCGGGGTGGGCCGGGGCAAAACCTATCCTAGCCCCGGCCCGTCCCCGAATTCTGGGGCCAATCTTGGGCTCGATCTCGGCCCAAAGCCCGAACGATTCGGGAAAAATCTGTCCCGTTCGGGGCCAGGCTTTGTGCCCATCCCTACTCACGATATATGTATCTCTACTTACTTCATAACAAGAACGAATCATTAGATGCGTTTAAAACATTTAAGGTTGAAGTAGAGAAACAATGCGGAAAGCAAATTAAGATAGTGAGATCAAATAGAGGTGGTGAGTATTATGGTAGATACACTAAGATTGGACAAGCGCTTGGTCTGTTCGCTAAGTTTCTTCAAGAACATAGGATAGTTGCCCAATACCATGCCTGGTTCACCGAACCAAAATGGTATGGCAGAAAGAAGAAACTAAACATTATTGGACATGGTGAGGAGTATGCTTAGCAGCTCCAATCTTCCTAAGTCATTGTGGACTAAAGCATTTAAGACAGCTGTGTATATATTAAACCGAGTTCCAACCAAGGCTGTCCCAAAGATGCCATTTGAATTATTGAAAGGTTGGAAACAAAGTTTGCGACATATGCGCGTTTGAGGGTGCCCGTCTAAGGTGAGAATCTATAATCCACAAGAGAAGAAGTTAGACCCAAGGACCATTAAGGGGTATAGATTTTATTGTCCATCTCACAACACTAGGATTGTGGAATCAAGAAACACTAAATTTCTTGAGTATGACTTGATTTGTGCGAGCGATCAAATCAGAAACAATGTTCCTGAACATGATCATTTAGATTCTTGCCCTTCCACCTCAAGTGATAAATTGGTCATAGTTCATAACACCCCTCAAGTACAAACCGGTGTGAAACAACCAATTAGTGAAGTTCCACAAGCTGCTGACAATGTTCCAGTGGATCAAGTAGTTCAGGAATTACCAGAACCTTCTGAACATCCAGTTGAACCACAAGCTTGTCATGAAGATAATGGTACAATATTAAGGAGATCCACTAGAACTAAGAGGCCAGCCATTCGTAGTGATTATGTAGTGTACCTACAAGAATTTGACTGTAATATTAGAGCCGAGAGTGATCCCGAGTCTTTTTCATAGGCCATGAGTTGTAAAGAGTCAGAATTATAGTACAATGTCATGAAGGAAGAGATGAGTTTCATGAAGAGTAACGAAGTTTGAGATCTTGTTGAGTTGCCTGATAGTGTAAAAACCATTGGATGTAAATGGGTCTTTAAGACAAAGAAAGACTCATTAGACAACATAGAGAGATATAAGGCGAGACTTGTTGCTAAGGGATTCACTCAAAAGGAAGGAATCGACTATAGAAGATTTTTTCTCCTGTATCTAAGAAAGATTCCTTACGCATCATATTGGCATTAGTAGCCCATTTTGACCTTGAGTTGCAACAAATGGATGTAAAAATGGCATTTCTCAATGGAGACCTAGAGGAGGAGGTTTATATGAAACAACCTGAAGGATTTTCCTGTAGTAATGGTGATCACTTGGTTTGTAAGCTCAAGAAATCTATATACGGTCTAAAACAAGCATCCTGCTAATAGTATTTTAAATTCCATGGGGTAATTACTTCATTCAGTTTCATTGAAAACCTCATGGATCAATGTATATATCAGAAGGTTAGTCGGAGTAAGGTATGCTTTCTTATTTTATATATGGATGATATTTTGCTTGCAACCAATGATAAGGGTTTGCTACATAAGGTAAAACAATTCCTCTCTAAAAATTTCAATATGAAGGATATGAGACATCTTATGTCATTGGCATCAATATCCATAGAGACAGATTACAAGGTATCTTGGGTCTGTCTCAAGAAACCTATATCAATAAGGTTTTAGAGAGATTTCGGATGAAAGATTGTTCACCAAGTGTGGCTCCCGTTGTGAAGGGTGATAAGTTCAATTTGAACCAATGCCCGAAGAACGATTTTGAAAAGAAACAAATGAAGAACATTTCATATACTTCTACTGTCATAAGCCTAATGTATGCTCAGGTCCGTACAAGGCCTGACATTGCATTTGTTGTTGGAATGTTGGGACGATATCAAAGTAATCTAGAGAGAGCTGCAAAGAAAGTGATGAGGTACCTTCAAGGAACCAAAAACTACATGCTTATATATAGACAGATGAACAATCTGGAAGTAATCAGTTATTCAGATTCAAACTTTGCTGGTTGTGTTGATTCACACAAATCAACATCAAGATATGTTTTCATAATGGCTAGTGGAGCTGTATCTTGGAGAAGTGTCAAGCAGTCCTTGACTACTACTTCCACTATGGAAGCTGAGTTCGTTTCTTGTTTTGAGGCTACTTCACATGGTGTATGGTTAAAGAGTTTCATATCTGGACTTAAAATTATGGATTCCATTTCTAAACCATTGAGAATATACTGCGATAATTCAGCTACTGTCTTTATGGCTAAGAAAAACAGAAGTCGAAGTCGAAGTAAACACATTGACATTATGTACTTAGCCATAAGAGAACGTATTAAGGAAAAGAAAGTGGTCATTGAGCACATAAGTACTGAATTGATGATCATTGATCCTTTGACCAAAGGCATGCCACAATTGAAATTCAATAAGAGAACGTATTAAGGAAAAGAAAGTGGTCATTGAGCACATAAGTACTGAATTGATGATCATTGATCCTTTGACCAAAGGCATGCCACCATTAAAATTCAAGGATCATGTAGAAAAAATGGGACCTCATTCTACTATGTAGTTATATATAAAATGTTTGAATGAAACTCTTATTTATTGTGATGTTTTCTCATATTCATGTGCACTTTTATATCATTTGAGAAAATTCATCTGTAGGACCAAGAATAAACATAGGGTTTATTCGTTAAGTAATGTTTCCATATATAAAGTAAACTTGAGAAATCAAATGCATTGTAATACATGGAAGATAATACTCGTTTTTTAGGACCTGTCACCATAATTCGTGTATTTGTTTCTTAATGAAATAATGGTTAAAAATATAGACCAAGTGGGAAAATATAAAACTTATGTTCATCAACATTACTCATGTAATGTTGATAATTGATTTTCATTAAATACAAATCAGTTTTAAAGATTAATGATCCACATTTGTTGCTTCAGTTTTTCAAATGTTTTTGTTTAGCCCTTGATTGGGATTTATGGCAGCCATTAAGCAATGCCATTAAGAGCTTGATGGAAGCTTGACTATATGTAATGTTTTGGTCCCTAAGCTCAAGTAGTCAACTAAAACAAAATACATCATCAATATTAGAGTGTCTTGAGAGCTTAGAAGAGCCAAAATACAGCTTCGTGAGTTTGTTTCAATGGCTGGAGGTAATTCTTGATTCTTGGTTTATAGTCTAAGAACATTGTATTCTTTGTATTTTTTGTTTAGATTGCAAATAAGTTGCTTACATATAACCCTCTTGACATTCTCCTTCAGGGCAGGAAGCAGTCTAATTTGCAACACCAAGAGGGGGACTTGAAGAAGTGCTCCTAGCACCCGCCCCTCCACCGTGCCTTACAGTACTACCGCTTATTGTTGAACCGCTCTCTGATGTCTCTGGTTCGATGTAGAAACGAGCTCGCAGCAAAATGAATAGTATGCCTGTGGAACTGTCAAGTTACAAGAGATAACCTCAACAAAAAATCAGAACATACCAACTCACAGTTTTGTGCCATAATCTTGGGCTAAAATGAAACCAGAAGTGATATCTTTAGCAACTTAAAGCTTAAACTTTTGATGCTGAAGCTGGCTGTTTGTCCCTCGATTTGGGTAAGAGAAAAAAAAGGACTTCTGATAAATTAATCACAGTAATCATTCATCAGCAGCAAACTTAAATCTGCCCAGAAAATCCAGTGCTAATATATATGAGTTACATATGATATGACCAACAATATCACAAAACTAGGGCATTGAAAACTTCATAGAAACCATATGGTATTCAGCAAGTCCTACACCATGCCAGAAATATAACACATTTGGGCAATGTTGAACAAAGGAAAATCAATATAACACATTTGGGCAATGTTGAACAAAGGAAAATCAAAATAAATTATCGAACCAGAGAGCCATGCCAGAAATTATGTTGAACAAAGGAAGAAATAGACAAGTAGAATTGCCCTCGCACCATCCCTGCATACCAAGAAGAAGTAATTGATGTGGTATGAAATTACCGTTACTATTCTTTCTCAGTGACGCTGATATAACGTCTTTGATCATTAGCGTCATCGTTATTTAACGCCGTACGCCGTCAGCGTTTTTAATGGTGTATGCCGTTACGGTTAAGTAAGGTGTGCAGTTACAGCCAATTACGGCGTCAGCATTAATTAACGTCTTAAGCGTTAACGCTGTTACAATTTCTAGCCTTAAATCTTTATGTAACCTATTCACATTTCCCCGTGGCCGTTTACACACTTACGTAATGGACAATAACGTATTTACAATTTTACATTGTGCTTTTTAATATTTAACCATAACATTTTCAGATGATTTTTAAAAATGCCCCAAACCTTGCATTTGTTTTTCTACGGAACCCAGATGGGAAATGTATCCAGAAGTTAAATATTTAGGGACATTTTGGCACACCAGTAGCAAATGTCAGACAGCTACAAAGCAAAACAGTAGAGTTTCAGAACCAGTTTCCAAACGGCTCTCACAGCCACGGAACATAGCAGATGTCTACTTATTTTTTAAGGTTTTTAAAAAGGCCTAACAGTAGAACATAACCCTCTTGACATTCTCCTTCAGGGCAGGAAGCGGTCTAACAGCAGCACTAAGACCGGGTCCTCGAGTGCTCCTGGCAGCTGCCCCTCCACCCATGCCTCCGCGTCCGGCAGCAGTGCCACTTGTCATTGAACCGCTATCTGATGTCTCTGGTTCCATGTAGAAACGAGCTCGGAATGCAGCAAGATGGGCATAGTATGCCGGTGGAACTGTCAAAGTAACAACAGAAATTAACATCAACAAATGCAGAACCGAAAATTTGAGATAGCATGCACAAGGGTGTATGTGTGTGCATCCGTGTCTGTGAGAGAGACTGCAAGGGGAAATGCTTACCAATGGAAACAGATCGTGTGCACCTTGCATATCTGCAGAAATCAGAACATACCAAATTACAGTTTAGTGTCATTATCTTAGGATAAAATGAAATTATAAGTTACATCTTTGACACCTTGAGCCCAAATTTTTTATAATGCAGCTGCAACTGAATTATTCATTTATCGACTTACGTGTAGCAAAGGTTGTTTGTGAGGGACTGTAGTCCATCAGCAGAAAATTTGTTCTCATCCCACAGTACATGGTAATGAGCTGGACGGCTTGTACCCTGTTTGTCAAGAAGGTATATTAGAATCAAATCTGCAATGCAGCATGCCAAGTACATAGGAGTAGAAAAGATATCTAACCTGTATTCCAGCATGGCTACAGAGGTAAAAGTCGAATTCAGTTGGATGACAAATTTTGGAGTCCACAACAGTACCTGCAGGATTCATAAGATTGAGAACTTTAGGTCGTATAAAATAAAATAAAAAAATCTCTGCAACAATGATAAATATCAAATCAAATCAAATTATCAAACCAGAGTTTCTAACCAGGCAATATATTCCCACTCTTGTCAACTGCATTCCGGTCATGATGGTTATTGGCAAACAACCTTGTGTGGTGACGTTTCTGAACCACAACTAAAGTCACAGGAGGCTGATAGTTTGGTTCCAAGGAAGCACATGCCTGAAATTAAGTCCAACAAAAGGGGAAATTTATAAGCAGATATATTTAATTTCAGAAGTTCGTTGATTTAAGCAAATACCATACAGGGAGCTGGAATTTGGAAGTCATCAAACAGAGAAACCTTACCTTACGAATAGCATCTAGTTCATAGAGCAATACTTGATAGAACTGCCCTTCACTGACACCATCCCTGAAGTTACACAAGTACATCAGTGGTCATAGCAAGAAAAAGTAACAGGAAAACAGACAGCAGCAGGACTACGAAAATGCCTGTAAAAGATTATGCGCTGTGGCTTCTGCCCAGTTGCTCTACGGAAAGAAATAAGAAGTTCCCTAGATCACACCAAAGAGAGAATGTAAGGAAATTTATAATTAAAAAAAAAAAAAAAAAAAAAAAAGCAAAACAATAACCAACTTCAAAAAGCGATCAGTATTCAATATTGCTTCCATCCATCAAACATAAGCACTGCTCAACGACAAACCCATAGAAGAAAACAAACTGAACAACCAATACATGTGTAAAAGAGAGGTCAATCATACTTGATCATGCCACCGGACACTGTCCCTCTTACAGGATCCTGCCATGTCTTATATAAATCTTGGATGAGCTCCTGGCGATGAGCTTGAGCACAAACCAATCCAGCATACTTTGTGACCTCCGGCCAATCTTGAGAAGCCACAACCTGTTTTAAATTCAGAAAAAATTTTAATTAACAAAAATTGTGGTTGAACTAAGGTGAACACAAGATAACACCATCATGAAGCTGAATCAGAGAAAGAATTTAAAGCACATACGGCTGCAATAGATGGGCTGGAATCCTCTCCAGGGTGAGGATGGGTAACATCAGCTCCAAAAATTATAGTAGGTCGGTCACTGACTAGAGGTATGCGCCTAGATATTGCATCAACAAGCACCGTATTCCTCCCACCAACCTTCACATTTATCTTCAACGCCACATTAGCTAAATACTGTTTACTCATCCTGAAAACGTGCTTAGTCAAACAGCACTGGGAAACAAGACCGAGATCTGTCTCACAAATACGCTTCAAATCACCTGCAAGAAAAATTTGAGATTCATCATTTAAAAGATGGTATGGCTACAGCCAACCGAACAAACAGTATAATGGAATTGCTAAAACCAGCCTATGCAAATACAGGGATAAAATGAAATTAGTGAGAAGAAGCAAAATAGTGCCCTACGAGAGTCGCATACCATAAAGAGAGCCGTTATTATCAGGCAGAATGACAATTAGTAGGTCAAGCTCCTTTCCGGGACCCAGTTTGGTCATGGCATCATGGTACCGAGTTTTCAAGACCCTCTCCACCTGCTCAGGACGAGCAGTAATCACTGGAAGTACTGGTTCAGGTTCGAATGCCTGCACACATCAACCAATGTTAGAGATATCAGTTACATATGACCAGCAATATCACAAAACTAGAACATTGAAAACTTCATAGAAACAACATGCATTCAGTAAGTCCCATACCATGCCAGAAATGTAACACATCTGGGCAAGCTCATAACAAAAGCCACGGGCTACTTGATCTTGAACAGAGCGAGAAAAATTTATGCAAAGCCAGTGGTTCACTGTTCCTCCATTGACCATTTTCTGCAATAAAATAGAAATTAATCAAAAAAACACGCTGAAATTTCTATGCAGTTCCCATAGTTAACAGAATTTAACATATAACCATATATATTCAATAAATTGATTAATAGTCACCGAAGAAAATGTTCCCTATCAGTTGCTAGGTATCAATTTCCAGAATGCACTTATAAGTAAAAAGGTTAGGATCTTCCAACTTGAATTTGATAAACAAATTCCCAACAATTATCCATTTTAGCCCAATAGTTGAAATTTAGAAGTAAAAAAGCAACATCCGATAAATTTACACCTTTGAATTAAGACAAATGAATGGTTAGATTTGTCTCCCCTTCTTCATCAAAATTTTAAGCTAAAAGATCCACAGGTATTAAACAATAATCTATCATGCACAAGTACAGACATCTCCAACAATATATCAGATGAATTAGAAGTAAATCTAATAAAATAAAAGAATGGTTGGGATTAAGGTTTCCTAAATTGAAATTTCACATGATGCATGGCAAACACAGTTCTTCCAGCCAAATGTACAAGTACAAAAGGCAAATATATTAAACAGAATTGAATTCTCCTAAAAAGTAGAAATAATAAAAGGGATCTCAACAAAAACCATATTCAACTGTTGCATACTAAGTGGATAGCAGGAGATATACCTTATTCATCATGTTCCATTGTCCAACCTGAGGCAGGCAATCCTTTTCTCTACCAGTATCATGATATTTCAGCTATAAAAACAAAGCATAAGAGTCCTAAAATGAGCACAACTATAATATTTCAGTTGAAATTTAAGAAGGCAAAGGGACAAAATGGAATGGATAACAAAGGAGAACTTACCCACGGTGCTGGCAGAATACGAGCTTCAACTGATGCAAGCTTCTCACTAATTTTAATTCCAAACTCCCTTGCATAAGGATCTTCATGATACGCATTGTGCCTCACAGTCTACAGAGGCCATTAAAGAAAACACCCATGAAATTAGAAGGCACTCAAATGTTACAACTACATATGATGACAAGAAGAAAAGATGATAATAGGCAGAGTCATGCCATTTGCTCCAGTAACACACCTCCAAAATATCACGCTCCCTATCACTAGGACGCTGACATGTCACCTTTAGCAAAGCAGTAATCTGCCTCTCATTTAACCTTTTCGAGTACCTCTGACCCTCAACAATCTTGCAAACCTATATTTGAGAAAGCACAATCAATTAGCATTCATATCTATACATCATCCACAGACTGGAAGACACAATAGCAAGATTACCTCCATAGGCAAATAATTAGGTCTCTGCTGATTTCCCACTTGTAGGCAGGGCCACTGAGTATGTTGAATTATGAAACCATAAGTTTCATAAAAGTATTCAACAACAGATTTCAAGGTGCCACTGTCATCAACTGGAAAACTGTGGAAAACAAATCAGTCAGAGAAGTGCAGCATCTCAGTGCAACCAAGATATTAAGAAATTTGAAATATGAATACTACATAAAAATATTACAAGAACATTATATTAACACTCACGTCAACTCTCCTGTTGCTTGCGATGTCAAACCAGATATACGATACTTCCTGCGCATATTTCCCCGATGTGTAACTTCAACCCTAACTCCCCTAAGAGCCTTCTTGATCTGTAGATATATAATTAAGTAGTGTTTCACATATCTCATAACATGTAAAAAAAAATTCACTATTCTTAAGCCACAAGAGAACTAAGGTTTTGATTGTTTAAAAACAGAAATAATGTACCAAAACTGCAAATTAATCATAATAAATCATAAATCTGATGAGAAAATGAATTAATGGTTAACAGACAAACTTCCCAAAGCACAAAAAAGAAATATAGTGCATAACATAGAACAGGACAATTTGCTCAACTGCAAACAGCATGCTAAAAAACGAAAACAGAAAAAATAGAGCAGAAGCTAACCTTCACACGATCAGCATCAGACAATGGTCTAGCAGAAACATCTCGATTCAGAAGCTGTTGAACAAATTCGATCACTGGCAATGGCTCAATGAAAGCAGTGGAGGACATATCTGCAAAACAGATTATTTTTCACCGTGAGCAAAATAATATGCAGAAAAAAAGTATAATGATAAAAGCAGCATCAACATGTAGCCATATAAAGGGCAAAGATATATAAAGTCATGAATTAACTAATAATTTAAGGATAACAGAATGTTAAATCAAGCATGAGTAGTTCATGCAACAGAAGTTTTACAGAAACAAATTAAAATATATGCCTCCTAAGAGCTGGTACCAAAATTTGAGTAACAAAAAATACTTACCAATATTTAGTGACAGTCCCATCTGAGTTGGACGAATACTTTGGTAGAAACCACGCCAGCTTTCCAATCCCTCTCCCAAGGGCTGCCTTCGCCCTAGATCAGGTGAATAAAATGACCGGCCCACAGGACAGTACCTACAATAAATCAACACTCTTTTATCATATCAAAGGAAGTGCAAGTGGTAACACATAAAAAACTCAAAGGAAGAATCATAATCTGTACCGAGTAGTAGGCAATTCACGCAGAACAATGTCAAGAACCTGCAGGGCTTCCTGAGGAGCATCAGCTTGCCTCCCCTGCAAGAAGAGTCCTAAATGATGTAGGTCAGCACGAGCAGCCAATTTGATCACAACTCTAAATTCCCTCTCTCTCCTGGGTCAAAAAGAAGATAATTGTAACAATGCACCAAGAACATATACCAACAAAACAGTGTTAAATAGGAAAAATAAAAACAAGGGAAGAACCTTTGCCCGCCTTGTCCATCATCTTCATCAAGTAGAGTGATCCTAAACTCCTTTGATATAAATGGAAGTGGCCCTGCAGTATATAGACTTTTCCGTCCATCATATGCAGGAAGACGCTTTCCAAGATGGGATTCTCTATATAATTTAACCAGCTGCTCCATCACAGCACGGTTTACTCCCCGAGAAGTGACCTCTGGTGTAATGGTAACCTAATTGTGGCATCAAGAGCTTCCGTCAACAACTTGCACCAAACATTTAAAGAAAAAATAAAAGATAGACATAAAAAATAAAAAAAATAAAATAAAAAAGAGCTCACATCATATTGGTGTAAATCCTTATCTGGTAGTTCGGCAAAAAAGTGATTAGCCTTGACAATACACCTAATGCCAGTACTTCCCCTGCCAGGCCTAAGTGGGAATCTTACAGATTTACTTGAGGCTGGCGATGGCACAGCTTGAATTGCTTGACTAGCAGAAGCTTCCTGCTGGATAGTTAACTGCTGAAACTGCTGAGTGACTTGTGTCGGCTCAAATGACCGAGATGAAGAACTTGCCTCAGACAGCATGGGCTGAGGGGTGACCCCAGGCATATAAGAAGCCGGGGTAGCTTGATGCAGCTCGGGAAATTGTGATGATCTGGATGGCCCACCAGAAGGTCCTCCTCCTCCTCGGCCACTACCACCCATGCCACGACCACCACCATACCCACCACGACCTCCTTGCTGGGTTTGTCCTCCCCTTCCCCTGCCTTGTTGTTCAGGGGGTCCACCATATTGTTGCTGTTGTGCGGGCCCACGACCACGGCCACCACCTCCACGACCTCCTTGCTGAGATTGAGGACCCCAACCTCTTCCACCACCTTGATATCCTCCACCTCCACCCTGCTGTGGTGGAGCACTCCTTTCAGTTGGCCGCTGGGAACCACGACCACCACCAGCACTCGTTTCCTGGGACTCGGAGCTCTCACTCCCACTGGAAGGGAGTTCAGTCCTTCTCTTCCTCACCATACTGATAACCTGCTGCATGCAAGAACAGTATAACCATCAACAATGATACAATGTCAAAAGGAAATAATAAAATCCAAAACAAGCAAAGATCATTGCTGAATGACACCACGAGAAACAAAGTTAAGATGTATCTGTAATGAGAACAAAAAACAAGTACGGAAACCTAAACAGAAAAGACTGACAAAGCACCTTATATAGATAAAAGGAAATAAAAGTATAAAATCATACACTAGGGCTAGACAAACTACATTCACTAAATCATTTCTCTTCAAGTGAGTGAGCATAGCATTAAACACTAAAAAATTTGATCAGTAAAACCAGTACAAAAAGATCATATAAAAAATTTGTGCTAATGTAAGTCATCAACCAAACTTCATGANTGGTCTAGCAGAAACATCTCGATTCAAAAGCTGTTGTACAAATTCGATCACTGGCAATGGCTCAATGAAAGCAGTGGAGGACATATCTGCAAAACAGATTATTTTTCACCGTGAGCAAAATAACATGCAGAAAAAAGGTATAATGATAAAAGCAGCATCAACATTTAGCCATATAAAGGGCAAAGATATATAAAGTCATGAATTAACTAATAATTTAAGGATAACAGAATGTTAAAATCAAGCATGAGTAGTTCATGCAACAGAAATTTTACAGAAACAAATTAAAATATATGCCACCTAAGAGCTGGTACCAAAATTTGAGTAACAAAAAATACTTACCAATATTTAGCGACAGTCCCATCTGAGTTGGACGAATACTTTGGTAGAAACCACGCCAGCTTTCCAATCCCTCTCCCAAGGGCTGCCTTCGCCCTAGATCAGGTGAATAAAATGACCGGCCCACAGGACAGTACCTACAATAAATCAACACTCTTTTATCATATCAAAGGAAGTGCAAGTGGTAACACATAAAAAACTCAAAGGAAGAATCATAATCTGTACCGAGTAGTAGGCAATTCACGCAGAACAATGTCAAGAACCTGCAGGGCTTCCTGAGGAGCATCAGCTTGCCTCCCCTGCAAGAAGAGTCCTAAATGATGTAGGTCAGCACGAGCAGCCAATTTGATCACAACTCTAAATTCCCTCTCTCTCCTGGGTCAAAAAGAAGATAATTGTAACAATGCACCAAGAACATATACCAACAAAACAGTGTTAAATAGGAAAAATAAAAACAAGGGAAGAACCTTTGCCCGCCTTGTCCATCATCTTCATCAAGTAGAGTGATCCTAAACTCCTTTGATATAAATGGAAGTGGCCCTGCAGTATATAGACTTTTCCGTCCATCATATGCAGGAAGACGCTTTCCAAGATGGGATTCTCTATATAATTTAACCAGCTGCTCCATCACAGCTCGGTTTACTCCCCGAGAAGTGACCTCTGGTGTAATGGTAACCTAATTGTGGCATCAAGAGCTTCCGTCACCAACTTGCACCAAACATTTAAAGAAAAAATAAAAGATAGACATAAAAAATAAAAAAAATAAAATAAAAAAGAGCTCACATCATATTGGTGTAAATCCTTATCTGGTAGTTCAGCAAAAAAGTGATTAGCCTTGACAATACACCTAATGCCAGTACTTCCCCTGCCAGGCCTAAGTGGGAATCTTACAGATTTACTTGAGGCTGGCGATGGCACAGCTTGAATTGCTTGACTAGCAGAAGCTTCCTGCTGGATAGTTAACTGCTGAAACTGCTGAGTGACTTGTGTCGGCTCAAATGACCGAGATGAAGAACTTGCCTCAGACAGCATGGGCTGAGGGGTGACCCCAGGCATATAAGAAGCCGGGGTAGCTTGATGCAGCTCGGGAAATTGTGATGATCTGGATGGCCCACCAGAAGGTCCTCCTCCTCGGCCACTACCACCCATGCCACGACCACCACCATACCCACCACGACCTCCTTGCTGGGTTTGTCCTCCCCTTCCCCTGCCTTGTTGTTCAGGGGGTCCACCATATTGTTGCTGTTGTGCGGGCCCACGACCACGGCCACCACCACCACCACCTCCACGACCTCCTTGCTGAGATTGAGGACCCCAACCTCTTCCACCACCTTGATATCCTCCACCTCCACCCTGCTGTGGTGGAGCACTCCTTTCAGTTGGCCGCTGGGAACCACGACCACCACCAGCACTCGTTTCCTGGGACTCGGAGCTCTCACTCCCACTGGAAGGGAGTTCAGTCCTTCTCTTCCTCACCATACTGATAACCTGCTGCATGCAAGAACAGTATAACCATCAACAATGATACAATGTCAAAAGGAAATAATAAAATCCAAAACAAGCAAAGATCATTGCTGAATGACACCACGAGAAACAAAGTTAAGATGTATCTGTAATGAGAACAAAAAACAAGTACGGAAACCTAAACAGAAAAGACTGACAAAGCACCTTATATAGATAAAAGGAAATAAAAGTATAAAATCATACACTAGGGCTAGACAAACTACATTCACTAAATCATTTCTCTTCAAGTGAGTGAGCATAGCATTAAACACTAAAAAATTTGATCAGTAAAACCAGTACAAAAAGATCATATAAAAAATTTGTGCTAATGTAAGTCATCAACCAAACTTCATGAAGCAATAGTGCCTGTTCACCATTTTGCAAATTCCATAGCAGATATGAAACAAGCTTGGAACAGTATTTGAAAAGGAATAACAAGAAATACACAGAAATTATTTCCAAAACAAGTAGTTGAACTTGAAAATAACTAAAATGCATTTTATGCATTTTGGACTTCGAAACACTGAAGTCTTCTTCCACCACTTCTCGTGCAAAAGCATTTTTCCTATGTCTGAACTGTTGTAAAAAATACGTACATTGCAAAACACATTCTTGGATCATGGAACCCAAAACCCGTGATCGCCATTAAACCCGATCAATAACCCAAAGAAAAAAAAAAGCAAAAACTAAGTTGTGTGTACCATCAGTCAACTAAAAAATGATTACAGGAAACATTAAAAAAAAATAAAAACGCTAAGCACAGAAAATTTTACACTTTCTTCCCCAACCGAATGCTAAACTAAACTTCATAAATAAAAATAAAAACTCCACAGAAAAAAAAAATATATATATATATATATTTTCGCAAATATTTCCCTCATTTCTTCCAGAAAATCACACAGAGAAACAAAACCCCTAAATCAATCACCCTATAATCACACGACCCACGACCCACGAGTAACCGAAAACCCCAAACACTAAATTGAATACAAACCCAAATGCAGAAGATCTAACGATCTACCCCATAAGCAAGAACTCAACTAAAACCACCCAAAAAATCAACAAAATCGAACCTTAAACACCATTTTCAACACACCTTCAACAAATAATCAACAAAACAAAGCAGATCCGAAGGAAACCGCACACAATCACTCAGAACAAAACATCAACTAAAAACCCTAACGAAATAGATCCACAGCAGCAAAGTAAATACACATACAATCAAATCTAAATGTTAAAAGAAAATCAATTTTCATTGGAATGGAAACCCTAAAACCAGCATTTTTACCTTAAAACCGGTAAACGGAAAACCACCGGAACTGTAAAAAACGGGTTCGTGTGCAGACAGCACCACGACACAAAATGCTAACACAAAAGGTGACTCCTTTGGTTGAGAGAGATGATAGATATAGTAAGTTTATAAGTACTGTGGAGAGAGAGTGGTGGGCGAGAGAGGTGAGAGAAAACTTTTGTGACAAGGGGTACCTTTTTTGTTAAAATCTCCATAATGCCATCCGCACTATACTTGTACAAGATTGGTAGGTTCTCGAAAATGACTACTTCGTCCTAACCCTAGCCATAGGGTTTTTGTTTTTGTTCTAACATATAACGGTGAAACTTATAACATTATACGTTGAATTACAACTCGAGTGATTTATTATTTTATATAAATTATTAGGTTTTGTTTTGTATCGATTCTTCATTTATAACTTATTATTTTTTTAACCGTATATACTAAATATAACATTCACCTTAAAATTATATTTGATATTATAGACATGATTTTTCAGTAATATTATACATTTTAAAAGGAATTTTAAAAAATATATTTGTGTAATGTGTTATCCTTAAGGGATAGGTTTTCTTCTCTAACAAATGTGTCGTTATTTTATTGACATCATCATTTCACTTTTCAAGTGCGATATCAATTTTTTCATTTAGTGATTGTCATTTTATTTGTAATGTTGAATAATATATGGCTACATTATTTTTGAAACAATTCGACATAATCAAACTTTTTTATATTAATAAACACTCGCTCGATATAATATATAATTTATCATCTTTTAAGCCGTTGGATTATCACGATCTATGGATATATATTAGTGTTGAAACGAAGACAAAGGCAAAATTATTATTATCCTCCCACTGAAGCTTAGTCCTCTAATCCAAATAAAATCATGGTGGTGCTTCCACTGAGCTGACCAAATTACAAGTCTACCCCACCACGCTTTTTTTCATGCGACTCCCACCCACTAGAACTGACACGGCAACATTCAAGATTCTCAATTGCGTATATGCATCCGACGTGGCATTTTGCTGACGTGGCATCACCCAACTTAGTGGAAGTAGAAGCGGCTCACATGATTGGCCACCACTCTCCACAACTCCTTTCGATAACGCCACATTAAGCCTAGCGTTTATCTACACAAAACAAAACCTCCTGACCACGCGCTTGCCGCTACTAACTTCATCCACTCGCCTTCTACATTCGCCACGCGTCTGTCACAATGACGGAAATACCCTCACTGACGGTTCGTTGAAGGGAAAGTGGGCGAGTTGATTTGTGTGGGACAGTCGCGGGGAGGGGGGAGTAGTGAGGAAGTCGTGAGGTCAAACGAACTATTATTGGTTAAACAGTGACTAATCAAGTTAATTATCGATAGTAGAAACTTTTAATGTGGATTAATTAATTAATTAATTAATTAATGGGTCGATGCTTTCTGGAAGTTTCTTTATTCCCCCTTCGTTCACAAGGAGTTGTTGTTGTCAAGTAACTGGTGTGTAAAGTGGAAGACCATCAGTGTCACTCATCTGACCACTGGATTCTGTAGCTGTCTTTTGCTTTCTTTTTGAGCCGTTCGATTACGGCTCCTTTTATTTGGTTGCCACGGTATCAATACCTTCTTTCAGAAGGCTTAGAGGTTAGAGCAAAAAATTTTAAATAATTAATTTTGGTTGGTTTTACCATAACCGGGTTAAATTAGACATTATGACTGAATTTTGACATTTATTTTATTTAAGGTGTGTTTGGTTTAAAGGATATTGTACTATTATAAATAATATATTACTTTGAATAGTATTACAAATGTTATATTATATATGTTTGATTAGATTGAAATAAATTAGTTGGCATATTATATTAATATGTTGGTTAGAAGGAATAAATTGATAGATATGTTATATAGATTATTGAATTATCTTTATTTTTTAATATTATTATAATAATAATATTATTATTATTATTTAGATTATTTTTTTAACCTCCTACATTTGAGATTTTGTAAAAACACCCCAACTATCATAAAAGTTTAAATTTTAACAAAAACACATCTCCCTCAACCAAGCTATTGCCTGCCACCGGTAATGGCTTGAATGGCACATGACCAGCCAGATATGGTCGATCATGCATTGATTCTGGCCAAATCTATTATGGCAAACAGCCATGGATCTAGTTGGAAACGACCAGATCTAGGCCCTTTGGCCATTTTCAGCCATCAATCTGGCCAAAAACAGCCCGCATCATTTTGGTGACTACCAACGACAGCTAGCGGCCAGCGGTGGTGGCCAAATGTGGTTGTGGTCTTCGATAATTTGGTTGAAGTACAAGGGTAATAATGTCTTAAAAATCTTGTGTATAAGACTAAAATTGTCCATAAAAATTCTTGTAAATTTTTAGATAACAAGGGCATTAAAGGATAAAATTATAATAAAAATAAGATTACAAAATAATCTCAGAATACCTAAGAAAATAATGGTATTCAGATTACCACATATATAAACAACAGTGATTATTATTGGTATTGGAAGATTGCTGAAATCTTATACTACTTGATAACCAATTATGGTAACGTCAATAATATAAGATAACATTACTAAAGTAACGAGAGATAACCCCTGACCAAACAACCCTTTAGAGTTAATTACACATACCTCCCATAAGGTTTCAATTATTTCACAAACGCATAACAAAAATCATCAGGTTAAAACAAACACCCCGTCCCTTTAATTTGGGTTAGCACTTTGTTAGGACTTTTTTCACTTACAGTCCCTCAACATAAAAAACTGACAAATTACCCCTGATAATTTGTCACTTACACTCCTATCGTCAATTTTTGGTGTTAAATTAACTAAGAGGAGAGGAAAAAAATGCCCTTTATTTTAAAACAAGAAAAATTATAAATTAAATATTTCAAAATAATAGAAAACATTTAGAAAACGTTTTAAAGATAATATATATTTTAGATTTAATATTATTTAAAAAAAATTACTTTTTTTTCAAATAAGGTGTCTGTTAGGGCCAAAAATCGTCATTGACTCAAATAGGAAAACAAGATCATTAGTGAAGAAAAGACCAGGCCCAGTCCTAAAGAGGCCCAAGCCAGATTAAGTCTCATTTGATATGAGATACGGCCGACCCAAACCATCTGGGCACAGGCCTCCCAGTTCCAGTTCACTTCATGGGCCTATAGGCAAGTTCAGAACACTTCCCTATTCGAAGTTACTTTCCTGATCAGAATCAACTTCCTATCCGGACACTGGTAAGACAGCATACCACGACCCTAATTCTTCTAGGGTTCGCATCAGAGTCACATTAGGACTCATACTCCCACCAAGATTGGGAGACCAGACAGTCACTATATAAACAGAGGTCAGCACTCTCACAAAGGACACACTACATTACACCTTCACATCCGAAGCTCCTACTTGAGAATTTTACATCACTGCCGTAGTCACAGCCTCCGACTAGACTTCCGGTAACCTCTTTACTCCCTAGCCCTCACTATACTAGCCTATTTCAGCCTTGCTGACTTGAGCGTCGGAGTGCCTACGGCAAACACCACCCCGATGTTTCTCGTTTGCTTCATGCATTTGTTTTTCTACGTGTGCAGGTACAGCGGATCGCTAGTGGCCTCAACCTCACGGGATTAGACCCCTCTTCTGTACAGGTAGATTTTTACGTCTACAGTGTCCAATGATCTCTTATTGTTGAAATCACATTTCTTAGATCATTTGAACCATGACCTCTTCTTCAAAGAAAGGGGATAAGTTGTTAGTTTTGTATATTGAAGGGCGTGTAGGTAAATAACCCTAACGAAGCCATAGTGGAAGTTAAAGGGGTTAGGGTGTTTGTGTTAACCTAATAATCCATTCTATGTGTCTGTGAAATGTTTAACCCTCAAGGGAGGTATAGCATAATTAACTATTTATTTATTTAATATGGATAGATACTGTAAATATCGTATTTAGGTATATTTCTTTATGATGGTAACATTTTAGGTAGGCTTTTAACGACGAACAACACTAAAGAAAGACAATATTATTGTTTGAAAGTTAATTATGAATAATTTTAGAGTTAAAATAAACAGTGAGAAGACAATTTGGTAATAGTTATTAACTTATAACAGTATAAATTTTAACAACTCATTAACAGTTCATTAATAGTATGAGGATTTTTGTTATTTTCAAAACCTCAAAAGGATTAATGTCATTAACTCTTAATTTTATCAAAAACTAATAATAGGTTTGTAACATTCAATAATAAATTGTGCAACCTGAGTATGTTTGAAGTATCGTAGTGAAATTTTGACATGATTTATATACTCTTTCAATAGGGATATATGATAGATTTAGATGTATTTTGGTACGTATTTGGTTCCTTCTTAAAAGGAATGTCTATCATGAGATTTGTACATATACTATGGTTCGTATCGATTTCATTCTAATTTATCACACAGTATAATATAATTTTAATATTTAATTTGTCAAAATTTATTAATTGTGGTTAATATGGATTTAATTTTTTGTAATTGTCTTCATAATTTTGGTTTATCGTTGAATTTTTCTTTCTTTTTCTATTACCTTATTAATAACCTAAATTATCCCATAATCTTGAAGATATTCATGAATCCCAAAGTAATGTGAAATAAAGCCAAAATCAATGCATAGGGTAGAGAATTTCTATAACATAAAGTTGAAGCCAACAAATATAAGAAGACACAAAATTATTAATTTTTAAATAGTATTGCCATATTGGATATCACTCCGATCAATACATATTCATCCTAACCTCTTTGTTTGATAGTTAGATTATTTTTTTAAGGATATCTAAGATAAAAAAAAAAAACAAGCATTTTACTTGACCAATTAGCCACAACTATACCTACCTTAGTTTTTGTTTGAAAGTGCTTTTCACAAAAGTGGTTTTGGGTCAAAGTAATTTTGGAAAGAGAAAACTTAATAAGTAGAAATACTTGAAATTTTTATTAAAAAAATAAGTTATTATTATTTATGACCAAAATATATGGGTTAGTTTGCGCACAATTGACTAATCTTGTGACCTATTGAATACTCTACAAACCCAATGTTCAAAGTTAAGTCATAAATGTGATAGGTGACCCCAAGAGGTTC